TTTCCGTCCATAGAAACTAATGGGAAGCTGCTATTCCGCCTTCGACCACTGGAGGGGGATATTTTGTTTCTTTTTTTCTTAGGTCAAGAAAGGTTCAGGGAAGGCAGGGAAAATACAGTCCAGGAAGTGCAGTACCAGGCAGTCCGAAGACTGTCTCCCAATCCACTCTCTAAACGCTGGGAGGAGTGAGGAAGCAGACAGGCACCCTTTTCACTGGCCAACAGTTAACCGAAAGTTCAAATTTTGCACTTTCCCTGCCTCCCACGTGGGTTTTTTTCAGTTCTTAACTCAAATCTAAGTATGTAAGTCAAATCAATATTTTCCTATGAGAGTGGTTCTTAAGTCAAAATGTTCTTAACTCGAGCCGTTCTTAAGTCAAGACCCCACTGTAGCTATGTATGGAAGTGAGAGATTGACCATTAAAAAGGCTGACCACCAAAGAATTTAAGCTTTTGAACTGTGGTGCTCTTGAGAATCCCCTGGACTGCAAAGAGAACAAACCTATCCATTTTGAAGGAAATCAACCCTGAGTGCTCACTGGAAGGACAGATCCTGAAGCTGAGGCTCCAATACTTTGGCCATCTCATGAGGAGAGAAGACTCCCTGGAAAAGACCCTGATGTTGGGAAAGTGTGAAGGCAAGAGGAGAAGGGGACGACAGAGGACGAGATGGTTGGACAGTGTCATTGAAGCGACCAGCATGAATTTGACTAAACTCCGGGAGGCAGTGGAAGACAGGAGGGCCTGGCATGCTCTGGTGAGTGGGGTCACGACTAAACAACAAGATTGTTGTACATGAAAAAATAAAACATCCCCTGGAAATAAGCCCAATGAGCTTTCTGGAGTAAAAATTAATATAAGACCCTGTCTTATTTTCAGGGAAACATGGTAGTTTGCACAGTTTTGCTCTGCACCACTCTGTATGCCACAATGTATTTTTCCAAGTTTTAATGGTTGCAATAATGACTTCATACTTTTAGATTCTGAAATGTCTCCATGTTATACAGTAGCTTACCTAATATGTTCCCATAACTAATATAAAATTTCAAAGGAAACACAAGGACACTTAACAATTCCAGAGAAAAAATACAATATTTGAATGCCAACATAGTGACCAGATGACAGTCATACATTCATCATAAACTAACTACTGTAATGGACCTGGCACCATGATGAGTAGCATTTTCTGAACACATAACCAGCTATTAGAAAAGTAAAGCTGTACCAAAATTGCTCTACTTAGGCTGCAATCTTAGACATACTTATCTAAGAATATGTTCCATGGTGCTTAATGGCAACTGAACCAAATGTGACTTACTTCTGAGGGCACATATGCAGGATTGCATTGATAATGAAATGCATTCCTTATGCTTCTCAACCCTCAAGAGAGATCAGAAACTCAACCTCATATTCCAATTTAGTGAAGTGTTCCCTTATTCACTCCTGCTTTTAAGGAAGATGAAATATCACAACCAATTTTAATATACATGAATTGTGATTGTTTTATTTTTATAAAACAGAGAAAATGCGCATCCACTTTACAACATACTTCTGCTTTAGATTAGATTTACCACTGGGAATGCGATTTTTGAGTAGTTGTATGTAGAAAAATTATGTCAGACCTACAAACGATAACTTCCACCAGTGAACAGTTATCATGCCAAAGAGTTTGAAAGCTGCTTGCACTGAAATTTATATTATGCTTTTATCCTGGTCACTTATTCCTAAAGGTGCTTTTCCTCACAGAGTCTTCAATACCAAGATAAAATTGTTTTTGCTGTCCAGTTATCAGATAGTTTTTACACATAAGCTATCATCTAACTCCTTCCTGCTCAGTCTTATCTACTGGTAAGTTCTCCTCACAACTCATGTCTTTTTAGGATTTGTGAATGTCTAAAAGGAAAATGACTATAATTTTGTCTATATTCTCACCATACTCACATGCCAATGAATATTGCTAATGAGAAAATAATAATTGTGTGTTAGTGTTACACTATTGCTCAAAATCAGAAAAATAAGTTACAAAATGCAGAACGGCATCATGCAGTCAAAACAGAATTTTCGTGCATAGAAAAATCATAATTTCTGTTAACACATTATGCATTATGGACCTGGCGGTGCACATGATTGTCACATTTGGCAAAACAAGAAACAAATTGATAAACAAATGAGTAAAAACTTTTCTGGTCTGCATATGGCCATATGCGGCAGATCAGGCCAGGAATCCTTCAGAAATTCACATTTGCTTTTATCAAGCATACATATACTTCTGACTTTGTATTAACGAAAGAAATTAAATGGATGTAGAATATACCCACCAACTATGCAACTCTACAAATGCAAGAGAAAGAAGTAGACACAACTACTGGTTATGATATTATAAAGCTATGAATAATACATGATTCTCTTTGAATTTCCTCAGCTATAAATAAAATATCCAAAGCACTGTGATCAGACATGGAGATTTATTTTGCATATATATATTCCATGACTTATGTCAAATGATTATACCTAGAATTAGCTTCATCATTTTCAATTTTAAGAAGCTTCATTATGCAAAAAAGAAAGGATGAATGAAATCTTCACCAGGATATTCTATACTGATTATTACTTGAAATTTAAATTTTGTATTATAAAGAATCATTGCCCAGCTCTTACTCTGTCAGCAATTATTTTTCATTACAAGAAGGAATTTACAATTCCACAATTTAAGCTCTTTATTTAATAAAGGGAGCAACAGCTATTTCATGACATATTTGGATGTAAAGTGAGGCATACCACACAGATATGAATTGAAAGCTTAATTGCAGAGCCTTGGATCAAATCTTAAGGGGATATTTTAGTACCAGTTAAAAACATAAATGCAATACAGAGTATTGTCTATATCTGTTATGTGCTGTGAAATTGCATTTGGCTTATGGCAACCCTAAAAGAGTTTTCAAAGTACGAGAGATATTTAAGGAGTGATTTTACCAGTGCTACCCTCCGGTGAGTTATCATAGCTAAGTGGGAGTTTGAACCTGCATCTCTTGAGTCCAAATCCAGCACACTATCCACTATACCACATTTGCACTTGCAATAGTTTATATATAAGTGATCCTTTCGTAAGTTTCACAGAACATGATCAGCTAACATTAACAGGAACTACGGTATTCCAGTTTAAAAGTTAGTTTGCTTACCTCTGGTGCAAACATAGTGTCATAGCTTGGATTGTACTGAACTTCCTTGGTAGATGGATCGAGGTGAACTCCTGTTTCTACATCTTCCTGCAAAATTCAACAGAATTTTAATGGAAATGGTTTAGGGACTAACATCTTAGAGAGAGAGGAATCAGTTCCAAAATTTGTTGTACAGTATTTACCTCCTTATTTTTACACTTAAAAGTGTTAATTGTGACATTGTTTTCTGATGTAACAGAGTCCTCACACTAAGGAAATGTCTTGTGAAAAAACTTTACACGAAATTTGTTCAAAACAGTTAACAGAACTTAGAGCAACGTAAGCTTAAAGGAAGGCTGATCTCAGATTGAGGAATTTTTGTTGTCAGAGAATCAACTACACAGTTTCTTCCTTTAGTTGGCAATATAGCCTTCCCCAGCTCCCAAGTAGTACTGTAACACAATGGTTCCCAACCTTGGGTGTTCTTGGACTTCAATTCCCAGGAACCCTTATTATTATAGCTGGTGCTGTAGGCTTCTTGGAACTGCAGTCCAAGAGCACCTGGGTTACCCAAGATTGGAACCACTGCTGGAACATATACTCAGACATACAATATATTGTATTTTCAACAAGCTCAGCAGGACATAGCAAGGAACTTGTCTATTTCTACTTAGTGTAGAGATTAAAGCCGAAGATAGCAAAGCTTTGTTAACTGCAAAAACAGCATTTCACGGGTATGGTTAACTGCTTGGGGGTAAGTACTGTACAGTTGTTCCCCCTGGTGCACCACTGCTGAATTCAAGATTGCACTCTCTCTCTAACATAATTCCTTCAAAGCTCAAATGGGTCCTAAACAGCAAATAACTTTTCTGTTCATGGGAGAACAAGACCAAAGAACTTTATTTCAGGACTGAGCATTATTTGTAAAGCTAAACCAATCAAAATTCTGTATCAAATAATGCTGATCTCTGCTACTTATCTGTAATATGCACACTCACATTAAATTTCCATGGCCTATAACATTTTTCTGCTTCAGTTAGCAACCAAGAATCCCTATACCGTAAATTATAAAGATGGGCTAGCTGAATTGTGGCAAATTACAACATGTTGGACTATGCAAACATTCTTCTGGCACTAGGGCCCTCCAAGCCCTCCCCCAGGTCCCTTCAAATGAAACTGCAAGTGTCCAGAAGACCAGGGTGTTTTGCTTTTTTAAAAAAAGACTTCCAATTTTATTAAAAAACAGATTCGGGGAGCTGCTGAAACAAAATATGCATATGGTATCATGTCTTACTGTAGAACAAGGGAGGGCAACCTGTGGCTCCTACTGATTTTTTTTGTGCCCCCCAGAGCAACCCAAGAAACCCCAAAATTTAAAAATGCCCCCCACTCCAAATGGCCTATTACTGTTGTTGCAAGTCTACAATGGCACTGTATCATCTCGGTGTGTGTGTTACCACCAAGGCTCTTCCAACCCTCCCTCAAAATATTACAAAATCAGCCCCCAAATCACAGACTGTCTGTTGAGTCAGTTTCTGTATACATTTTAGAGAAGGACTGGCTAGAAAGTAGAAACAGTCACATTCCAATCTGCTACTGCCTGTGGTGGAGGTTGGGGACAAAATTTTGACTCCCAAGCCTTATGAGATCACCCATCCCATTTATAGAAGACAATTGCACCCTCTGGAGGTCCAACACTCCCATTAAAAAAATGCTAACAGAAATAAAGATTTTGGAGGGCTGCTGCAAAATCACATGAGACTGTGCCTTATGCATATGCTTCTCTCTTTCCCCTGCGGTACAGAAGGGGCATGCAAAGGGAACAAAATTGTCTAATACATGGAAGTGCCCAGATTTCCATGGAATAACCTAGGCAAATAATGGAAAGGGCTTATCCATCACTGGTGATATTGTATCAGGTCTTGAAATAGCGAGACAAGGCTCCTGACCTAAAGACACAACTCTCAATAACAATGGAGTAAATTGCTGATGTGATTAAGAGATGCACAATCACTGGGACAGAATGGCTGATGCCTGTTTAGAGTCAAGATGGCACATCAAACCTTGGAATCAAAGCAATACAATAGAAGAGAACCTTCTATTAAACCACTGGTTCTCAACCTTGGCATTCTTGGACTGCAACTCTCAGAAACCCCAGGCAGTATCGCAGTTGGTGAAGGCTTGTGAGAACTGCGGTCTAAACAACACCTGGGCTACCCAAAATTGCGAACCACTGTCTCTGACAACATTTGCGCCACCTGAAAAGCCTTTTCAAAGGTGTTTCCAGGATAGAGTCTTGTACTTGGAGCAGAATGAGCAGATTGATGGTAGTTGATCTACTGCATTTGCAACCCTATGTCTCTCTTCTTGGCTGTGATCTTAAGAAGATGGTCTGTGGCTTCATCACAGTTGAAGAGGTCCTCATTATCTAAAGCCTTGTCTTTGGTTTTTGTTCTGCTTTCATCTGATACTCTAGCACAGGGGTGTCCAAAGTACAGCCTGCTGGCCACATCTGGCCTGCCTTGCCTTTTTATCTGGCTCGTGTGGGTGGGCGGGAGTGGGATTTCCTTCAGCTCTCGAAAATATGGAAAATATACTATGTGGCCGTCACTGTGAAAGGTTTGGAGACCCCTGCTCTAGCAGTTTGTATTCAAGAGTATCTACAAAGAGATATAACATCTACAATGACTTCAGCAGTGCAATCGATATGAAATTTCCCCAGGACTAGAATTAGAATGGAGAGCAGCAGAAGGAGCTACAGTAACTGTGGCAACTGCAGTAAAGTTAAGATTAGTATCCTTGGAGCTGAGGTCATGGTAGGTACCTTTGCCAGCAATAAGGTATGTGGAGTAGTGTGAACTGGAGAATAAAGAGAAGAAAAGAGAGGGAGAGAGCCATCCCCTCATACGTCTGTTAAGGAGGAAAAGGACAGAGAGGAAAGAAAGGGAATGGAAATGAAAGTTATAGAAAGGATGAAGGAGTTAAAGGCGGGAAAAGAAGGTGAGGAGTGGCTATTTGAGAAAGCCAAGGAGCAATTTCAACATGCCTTCCGTTAAAGAAAAACAGTTATGAAGAAACGTTGTCCTTGTTATGGACAGATTTTCCTGTTGATGTTGAACATGTTAATCCCATAGAGGTTGTTGTTGAGAAACCACTAAGTTTTGTTAATAAAGAGTTTATTGTTAAAGAACTCTTTCGCTTGTCATTTCCCGCCAAAACTAAGAAACTGTCAGATACCTTTCTCTTGTCATTTCCCGCCAAAACTAAAAAACTGTCAGATATCAACAAAGTAACGGATCACAAGTAGGAGAAATAAAAAGCTTCCTAACTGAGGAGGCAAGATGGCTCATATCCACTTTTGCGGGGGTTTTAACAGTCTTCTCTTTCAGTTCTGTAGATGCTGATTGCTTCAATGGGTCTTTTGGTTTTGGGGTGATATGTTATCAGATCTGCTTGGTGTGGGAAGTGACTGTAAAATGATTGCAGTCTGATGGGCAAATTTGAGAGATCTAAGTTCCTTACAAACACCAGACCTCTGAAGGCCTCACCCGCCACCCTTGTAAGTTAGGAGAATATCATGAAAACTCCAGAGACTGTAATGGACCTGGTGGATGTTGGGAGGGGGCACAGTGGAGCCACAAGAAAACCAGGAGCTCTACTTTGACCAACCCCACTCTAGAGACACAACTCATATTGTGTGAGAGGTTAATGCTGGAAGGAAACTTTCCTGCCATGATCATGTTGAAGGGTAGTTCCCAACAGACAAAGTATTGCATTGCCTTTTACAAATTTCTGCTTAAAAAAACCGCTTAGCGAAGAAGATTTTGCGATCGAAAAAGCGATCGCATTGCAATGTTTTAAATAGGAAAAAAATCGCTTTGTGATGATCGGTAAGCTGTTTCGCTTACCAATTATCACATAGCGATCTTTTTCCTACAGCTGATCGGCGGTTCCAAAATGGCCGCTGGGTAAAAAACATGGCCGCCCGCTATTTTCTGGGACGGATTCCTTGCATACCAGGCAGCGAAAATGGCCGCCGTATGGAGGATTTTCGCTTAAAGGTAAGTTTTAAGCCCACAGGAATGCATTGAAGGGGTTTCAATGCAGTCCTATGGGCTTTTTTAAATCCTTAGCGATGTTTTTTAAATCGCTTAGCGATTTTTGCTGCACCGATTAACATCGCTAAGCAAGGCACCACTGTACGTAACTGACTTTGAAAAGTCTAATCAATCTGCCAAATGGCATGGGGGCTACAGTAGAAAACCAGAAGCTAGGTAGAGCATGGACACATGGGATTCACTGTGTGGCTTTTTCATCTTAGGCAACATCATCTTTGTCATACTTTAGAGAACTGTATATCTAGTTCCACATGCCCAGCAGCACTTAGGAGTAAAGTTCCTTGTACTGCAGCCCTTGCAATGCTACATGATAAGATACTCCTGAAATGCCAGGGAGCTTCAAAAGCTGTTTGAACAAAATACTCTGGAGCAAGCCTAAAGATATTTCCCCATTATAGATTTCTTTTCCTGAAATCTCTCGGACCCACCTTTGCCTTGAAATCTGTTTCTTCTAAATCTAGTTCAACTTTAAGCATCCTTCTTGTGAAAACTACATTAGTGCTGAAGTATGGAAAAGTAAAAGTAAAATCAGCCTTGAAATTTATAAATGGGTGAGAAGAAACTACAGTGGTGCCTTGCATAGTGACATTAATCCGTGCAGCAAAAATTGCTGCTAAGCGATTTCGTCGCTATGCGATTTTAAAAAGCCCATAGAAACGCATTAAAACCTGTTTAATGTGTTCCTCTGGGCTTAAAACTCACCTTAAAGCGAAGATCCTTCATACGGTGGCCATTTTCACTGCCCCTTAAGTGAGAAATCTGTTCCTACACACAACGGGAGGCCATTTTTTTTACCCTGCGGCCATTTTGGAACCGCCAATCAGCTGTTAAAAAATCATCACTTTGCGATGATCGGTAAGCGAAACAGGGAACCGATCATCGCAAAGCAAAAAAAACATTTAAAACATCACAATGCGATTGCTTTTGCGATCGCAAAAACTTAATTGCTATGCAGTTTCATCGCTAAACGGAGCGCCCGTTAAGCAAGGC